TATGTAATGCAAATATTTTCTGTATGTATGTGTGTAAAAATATAAATTTACAAAATATGAAGAAGAAATCAGTGAGGATGTTTGTACATATATGTGTGAAAGATACTTCAGATGTATACTGCATGTTTATCAGGAGGAAGATTCAGCATTCCTAAGAGATTCGTCTTCTTGGATTAATAAATCCAAGACAATCTCAGTGAAAATCCCAGTCAGCTGTTTTGTGACTATCAACATACTGATTCAAAAGTTTACATGGACAAGCGAAAGATTCAGAATAGCTAAAATAATATCAAAAAAAGAGAAAAGTTGGAAGATTGAAATTACCCTGAATTTAAGACTTACTATAGCACTATAGTAACCAGGAAACTATGACCATGGTGAATAATATACAAATAGATCAATGCAACAGGACAGAGAGATCAGATAGACCCACACAAATGTTAATTAATCTTTGACAAAGGTAAAAAGCAATTCAATAAAGAAGAAGTGATTTTTTCAACAAATGGCATCTAATGGCTGGATACCACAGGCATAATAAAACAATTCAGATATCAGACCTCTTTTTAAAAGTAAGTAAAACTAGATCATAGATTTAAGTGTAAAATGAAACATGATATGACTTTTCAAAGATAAAAATAGAATAAATCTAGTTGAATTTTGGTTTGAAATGACTTTTTAGGTATAACCCTAAAGCACCACCCAGCAATGAAGTAATTGATAAGCTGAACTTTATTAAAATATAAAATTTCTACTCTTCACAAGTTGCTTTTAGAAAATGAGCAGACAAATGACACTGGAGAAAAGCCACTGCAAAAAAGCGGGGTGTAAAACTTCAAATATACAAAGAACTATATGACTCAGTAATAAGAAAATCTGAAAGATACATAACCAGAAAGATAGACTGATGGAGAATTAGCATATGAAAAGATGCTCAACATCGCATCTTCAGCCAACCACAAATTTAAAAACAACATATTACATACTTATTAGAATAGCTAAAATGTAAAAAATGGGCAACACCCAATGCTAATATAGATGTGGAATAATAAGAACTCGCCTTCAATGATCAGTGCAAAATGACTTTGGAGGACCATCCAGCACTTTTTTATAAATGTAACCATTGTCTTAGTATATGAGAAAATAATCATGTAATCATTGTCTTAGTATATGAAAAAATAATAACCAAAATGAGTTAAAATCATATTCACACAAAAATCTGTATGCAAATGTTTAGTACAACTTTATTCATGGTTATCAAGACATGGAAACATAAAAGATGTCATTCAGTAGGTAAATGGATAAATAATTTGTTATGTCCACACAGTGGAATATTATTCAATGATTAAAAATAAATTAGCTATCAACACACAAAAATACATAAAGAAACTTTAAATGCACATTGCTAAATGAAAGAAGCTAGTCTAAAAAGGTTATATGCTATATGATTTCAACTATACAATTTTTACAAAGAAACAATACTATGATAAGAAGAAAAAAGATCAGTGGTTTTAGAGAGGGAGGGGGAGAAAAATAACAGCAACCATGGAGTACTTCTAGGACAATGAAACTAATCTGTACAATACTGTGATGGTGAATCCATGGCATTCTATCCAGACAACTGTGCAACACAAAATAAGTTCTAACATAACTGTTTCACTTAATAATCATGTATCAACATTTTTATATTTTGTTTTGTTTTGTTTTTTGTACTGGGGATTGAACAGTGGTCCTTGCACTTGTGAGGCAGGCAGCAGAACCACTGAGCTAAATCCCCAGCCCTGTTTTTTTTATCAGTTTTAACAAATATACTATATTAGTGCAAAATAGGAGAAACTGCAATGAGGGGGTATAGTTAAGAAGGAATATATGAAAGATCTCTGAATTTTCTGGGCAAGTGTTTCTCGTAAAACTAAAAATGCTCTAAAAAGTAAACTCAAGTAAATCCACCAATATAGATTAATTTAAATATAGGTACATGTGTATATATATATATATATATATATATATATATATATATATATATATATATATATATATATATATATATATATATATATATATATATATATATATATATATATATATCTGTAACATAAACCTATATCAGAGTTATGATCTAACAGTTACATAGCTCTGTCTATGACAGTGGAATCTGTACTTATGGCAAAATCTCATTGTCCTTCTGGATAGCAGTAACAGGATTAAAGTATGTAAGCCTGAGTATCTAACAACTAATTATTACCTTTATTATAAATGTGATAGGTTGGTTAAGAGGATAAACTAGTTCAAACCCAGTTGCCAATATTTATTAATAATAAATTGTTAGTAAAGTTACTGAAAAGAATACAAAAATCTGGTCCGGGTATTTAGCTCAGCAGAGTAGCCACCTGCCTCAGAAGCACAAGGTTCCAAGTGCAATCCGGGGTACCAAAAAAGAAAAAATAAATACAAAATCTTAGAATTAAGTACTGAATCTTGCCTGCATTGGGTGCTTGGTATCTGTTGATAGATACTTTATTTTTTCAGCTTTAATTGAGTTTATTGGTACATTTCAGGTGTACAGTACAGTTACATTCATTGTTGGGATCTTGTACCTCTACGTGACAAGTCTTGGTTCTCATTTTTTCCCCTTGTCCCTGCTCTCCCTTTACCCCCTCCTCCCCTCCCCATGTACAACCGCTTTATTTCCATCTTTTCATTATCTCACATTTTTTTCTTTTCCCTTTTTACCCTTCCCCTGCCCATCACACCTTCCCTACACCTTTAGCTCCTTTCTTCCCATTTCTCAATGTCAGTAATCTTACTAGGATCTTCTGTATTATTGCAGATTATTCACACCAGAGAAACTATTCGGTATTTACACATGTGTGCCTTATTTATTTCACTTAGGAGTATATCTTCAATGCTGATAGATACTTTACTGAATACAAAATAGAGGAATGGTTGGAAGGAAATCAAGAAAGGAATACTACAAAAGTATTCAAAAATACTTCAATATAAGCCTATTTTCACCATACTATTTGGAGAGATATTTTCCTCCATATCTTCACCCTGAGAACCTTTTTCTTTCTGGATCTATTTATATATAAGTACTGAATGTCAGCTAGATTCTTCTTGTAATAACTTTAAAGCAGAGCTAAAAGAAGACAGATGAGTCTTACAAAGAAAAAGTATGCACCAGGTTCTTCCTGCCAGACCACAACAGCTGTGCTAACAACAAATGAAGATGTGAGTGCTTAAAGAACAATTCTGAATTTGGAAGGCCTTGTTTCAAAGATCTTTGATGAGATAACAGCTCACTGAATTAAATATCAACTAATAACAAAACCTAAGAGGCATAACATAGTACTTATCATCTCTAAACTCCAAAAATGAGATGATCAAAATTGAATTGCTCTAAATTGAAAAGGTTATACAAGTATATCAATCGCCAGAAACATCAATTTTATATATTATGGAAAAAATCCAAGTTTTCCTTTTGAATGTGCAATATATTTATAAGTGGAGAAATTTGAACCATATTCTTTAGGTAGCATAAAAGATAGAATGTCAATCACAGAGAATTCAATTTCCTTTTCCAATAGCATTTCATTCATTCACAAAAACGTGATTCTTGGGTGAATAACTGGCTTGTTTTTGGTGTGACATACGAAAAACTGAACTAATAACAATAACAATGAAACAAGAGATAAGTATTAATTATGTATTTTCTCATTTAATTCCCCATGCTTACTGAAGTAGACACTATTATTTTCTTTTGCCAATAGAAATATGAACTTTAAGAAAGTAAAATCTGAACTTTAAGAAGTTACTCAAAGCTTAAATCCTAAGTGATGAAACAAGATTGGGTACATACATTTTTCATGACCTATGACTTTCCTGGCTGCCTGGATCTTCTATCAAAGTGGGGGTAGACAGACCTCTCTATCCCTTTCTTTTTTCTTATCTATGCTGTGTTTTGTTGCACAAAAGTTCAACTGCTGATATGAAAATACATTTTTTACAACATATGCAAACTAAAATATGAGCGAGCTACTTGTTCCCACTCTATGATAACCTGCCACTTTCCATTCAGGTTAAATACACAAGAGCTACAAATAGTATTAAGGGAAATTTGAAAATGAAGACTAATCAAAGGCAGAGATGTTTAAACTTTAGAGGAAAGATGAGTTTGTCTTTATCATCCCACAACATACAAGGGAGATATTTAAATAATCCACCTTGATTTTTGAAGTCATTTTTATACAATTCGGGTGCCAACTGTCTGTATGTGTTTCATCACATATAGAAATTGATGTGAATGTTAAAAACACTGCAATGGAAGGACATAATATAGAGACAGAAAAACTCATATAGAATGATTTGTGATATGAATCTAATTATCTCAACTAGTGTATCTTTAGGTATATATATTCTATAATATGTTAATAAAGAGAAGATGAGAGGTGATGCAATGCAAAATTTGTCTGAAAAATAGGTATTATGGACCTCCTGTACAGTATTTTAAAATATAAAGCACTGAGAAGTTCCACATTAGTTAAACAAGCTACTCCTCGCTTAAGCCAATTTTATCAAGTGTAATATCGATACTGAACTTCCATAGAACACACTTTGAGAAACATAAATGCAATTGCTGAATAGATGGAGAAGAATAAAATGTAAAAGTGATGGTTGAATTCAGATCATATCATGTGTAAGTGGCTTCCATTTGAAATCTGAATTCAGTAGAGCGAAGCCACTATGCCTTATAGGTTGACTGCTAGAATGTCTCAAAGCTCTTAATGGCTTCACAAAAGAGAAAGTGATTTAAAACTCATATTACAATTCAATGTGATGATTCAAAAACTTAGATTTCTTCTAGCTCAGGCTTCCAAATTTCCTAAAATTCTCAAACTTCTCACCATTAGATGAAAAGAGGGAAGGAGTAAAAGTTCTTATAGGTTTTACATCCCAAGCTTGGGAGTAGTATGCATCAATTCTGTTCATATTTTGTTTTCTAGAACTCACATGGCTACATTTGAAAACAAGAGATTCTGAGTAATGAAATCCAGCTGTGTCCTCCATCAGAAGAAAAAAATCATATGGAAAAAGGTCCTCTGCTACAAAGATTCTGAAGCTGGAATCTAAATTTGCAGTCTGAAAAGTTTGGAAGAAACCTTAGCCCCAGAACCAGATTAAAACTATCCTTCAAATTGTCAAACCAATGTCTCATGTTTATGAGTTCTTATACTTTCACAATGAAACTGAAAATCTTGGCTAATGAGCATCAATCTATTTCTCTTCCTACTTCAAAAATAAATAGATGGTGTCTCACAGATCACTGAATGACGGAGTTATCTCCTGAAGAAGAACAAAGTTTTACTAGCATTTGGAGCTTTTCATCCCTCTAAAACAATGTATTTTAGTCAAAGACAGGTTCTTTCTTAAAAGCCCAAGACCATGAGATAATAGGAAGAATATGAGCTTGTCAGTTCATTAGCTCAGTGCACAGAACTCTCTTTTTTTCTTTCTCTGTAAGTATCTTACTAAATATGCAAAGAACATTTTATTCAGATAGGAGGCTAAAAGTGATATTATATAAATGGACCTTCATGTGACTGATGACTCAAAATGATGTCCTACATTAATTTAAGCATATGTTATATAAAATCACAGTCTCTTAATATAGGTTTGTATGTATAATATAGGTTATTATAAGACTGACAATGAGATGCTTATGAAGGAATTATTAATATAAATAGACACTGACTCAAATGCACTGGATCATATTCACATATGCATTATGAAGCACTCTCTCCAAAAAAATGGCTGCTATAGCAAGGGACTTAGCCTTAAGAAAGTCTTATTCGTGAAATATAAAATTGAATTATCACAGGGGCAACTCACTTGCTGGATGTTCCAAGAATGCAATGATTAGTGGGTGGATGACTGCTGAACTGGTGAGGAGGCAAAAGGGTTGACTTGAAAGTCTTCCCTAGAATGTTCCCACAGGTGAGAAATTTTTACTGGCTCCTCTAGAGCCGTGTTTTGGGTACTACATCATTCTACTTTTAGAGGTAAGAAATTTGAGGGGCCAAGAGGCTCAACCAAGATCATAGCAGGGAATTACAAACCTGGTCTTTCTACTTCTAAAGACTACTGTTTGCCCATGGCATTTTTCTGTCTTGTAAATTGACAGAAAACAATTCATGGTGAACTGTCCTAATTTCTGAACTGTCTCTAACCAAAAATATTATTTCCTGGAAAATATCCATGAGAAGCCATTATATTTTGTACTTTCAAGGCATAATACTTTTCTTTCAAGATATTGAATTTCATTTTGCAAAAATGGAGAGTATTCCCAGATCTTCTGCTATTTTACTTTCTTTTAAAGTACCTTATATTACAACTGTATTTTCTGAAGATGTATAAAAATTCTCCCAGGTTTCTAATCTATTGCAAATATGTCATGGAGAATCAGATCAAGGTATTAATATCAGACATCAAAACAGCTAGCTGAAAAACGAATCTGTCCTATGCCACACATATTTTGTGTAATGGAAATGTAATCATTCAATAAATATGTATTGAAAGAAAGGATGACTGAGAATTTTATATGGCATTTGATAGTACCTGGGAAAATATCAAAAATCTTGCCAGAGTTTATTTTCCTCCAGATTTCTGGCTCAGCAGTAACAAAAAAGAGTCACTACAGAATTAATTAATCTTAATTGCCAATGATTTGTTTTCATGATAGACAATATAGACAATGTTTTTGTATAGGCATACAGAAAATGTAGCCACTGAGTAATGAGATATCTTTTGAATAAATTGTCAAGCTAATTATCATAATGAATACTTCTAGTCTGTGCTGTCCTCCACACTGTAACCAAAGTAACTCCATCTTATAGTGGGCCCCTGTTTAACTGTCCAGGGTCCCTCACAGACAAGTCTGTGTGCCAGACTGTAGTACAAGGTCATCCACCCCCATGGCTTAACAATGTTTGCCGAGACTGGTGGAGTTTCCTGATAAGGATGGGATGGGAGTGGAGAATATACAACTTTTCCCAAGGACGTTTCTTGGTTTTGATCCAGCCTTTGCTGTTTTAATTAGTGATATATAAAACCAGTAACTTAGTAAAAGAGTGCTGATAGCTTCAATAGTGCAGCCGGTAAGTCATCCACTGCTCTATAAAGAAACTCATTTCTCACCAAGCTTGAGTTCCCCAGGTCTTTCTTCGGACTGCTGGGATCCTTTCAAAGATAGATGTTTCTTTTATGTCACCCTATGAAATTCATGTAACTATATTATCTTCAATTAAATGTATTGAAATAGTTTCAGTATCACTACAAAAGTGAGATTTTATGTTTACAAATATTGTGAGATCGCAGCAAGGGAAAATGCTTTCAGAAGGGCATGGATTGAAGGAGATGATAGTAGGAATCCAGGAAATCAAATCTTGTCTTAACCTCTGAGAAAGTTACCTAGGTCCAGTCATTGTAGATGGCTCATATAAAGGAATTTTATAAGTTGGGGAATGAGAGCAACCAACTCCGATTAACTTGGCTATCAGGATAATCGTGTAAAAGGAAGATTTACTCACTTTTTATGGAGTTAAAAATGAACTTGTGACAGTCAAAATGAAATCACAGAAAATGTATACAGTTCTTTCAGCACTAATTGGGTCTGAACTATTCAATTGGTTAGTTTCAAACAAAACCCACCTCAATTTCTAATACTTGAAAAATATGGAAAATATCTCCTCCCCATAAAAATGAATAAATGGATGAAACTTGTTAAGTATATTAAAATACTCAGGAGGGGGTCTCTTCAGCTGCCTGCCTGCCTGAGATCACCCGGCGGGTGCGCGACCTCCCAGACTGTGCGACAGAGACCCAGCAAAGACCCAAAGAACCCGGAGGGGTCTCTTCAGCTGCCTGCCTGCCTGAGATCACCTGGCTGGTGTGCAACCTCCCGGACTGCGCGACAACAGACCCAGTAAGGAAGGTAGCTGCGTGGGCGCCCTTGAAACACCCCCACGATCTCCCCTGCCCCCGTTCTCAAATCTCCTGATTGGTCCAGTCCTTAGACCAACTCTGCAGAGGCATAGGTTCTCATGAAGGGTAATTTTCTGAGCTCCCAACTTTGAACATCTTTAAAGAAAGGGCAGGGGAAACCTGTAATAGAACTAAGTGGAGTTCAACCCTGAGGGTAGAGAAACTCAAGTTAGGCCTTGTAGACTGTGTTCAGTCTCAGTCTTGGGGAACTGTCATTGGCTAGCTGAGACCAGGGGATTGGGTTCTGCATATGCCTGTACATGTGGTATAATATGAGAACAGAGAGAGTCTGAAAGAGGCCCTTCAAATTCTTCTCTCTCTCTCTCTCTCTCTCTCTCTCTCTCTCTCTCTCTCCTCTTTTTCTTTTCCTCATTCCACCCTAAAATTTCTTTCTTTTTTCTGTTCTCTCTCTCCAACTCAGTCTCTTGCTCCACCATATTGTACCTCATCTCCCTTTTTATTCCGGCTCCTGCCCTAACTCAGACTTCTTCTTTTATTATTTTTTGTTTTTAGGAGGGGTTTCTCTTTATGTTCTTTTCTCCACTCATTTTACCTCACTCATGGCTCTGTACCTTCAAGGGAAGGCAAGCCCCTGTTATTGTTAAGGGGATATATTCTTGTCCTTATTCCTGCACTCTCTGTATCCCCCCTGAAGCTAATAGCTTTGTAAAGATAGTAAGGTAATTCTACAACCTCTGGATTCACTTCAAACCTGCTCTAAATCTTTCACTTATCTAATCCTCTCGTTCTAAGTCTAACCCCCCATCCTAAATTGTAAAGATGATATATTGAAAAGCATATTCACTGCAAACATACTATGGACTGCTTCTTGAAGTTAATTTAATCCACATGAGTTAAAGGTTATACATTAATGGCTACCACAAGTGGTCAGTTTGCAAGCTGTGCCTGATCCTATTGGGCTGCTGAATGTATCAATTGGGATAAAGAGTTGTGATTGATTTAAAGAGTTGTTTTCTCTGATATTATGAAAATGAGGATGTCAGTCTTTAGAAACTCAAAAGCTAAAATGCAACTATATTAGGAAGATTTAAGTAATACCCAGAAATTAAAGAAGGACAACCCAACAATAAAAATAAAAATGAGAAAACACTTAAGCAAAACACAAAAACAGATTTCCAGTTCACCAATGGCAAATAGTAGGACAAAGGAGGATGAAAAGTCTGATAGTGAACCAACAGAACTCCCTGGACCCATAGCACAGGAGGTAACAAAACAGATCAATCAGGCTCTAGAAAAATTCAAATCAGAAATAATTTCCCAGTTAACCAGAGAGATGATGAGCAAAATGGAAGTCATGATTCGAGACTCTAGAGCAGAAACTGACAAAAAAATAGATGAGCTCAAGACTATGATAGAAGCCATGAAGACTCAGCATAAGAAAGAAATGGAAACAATGAATGCCCAACAGAGGAAAGAAATGGAATCCATAAAACAGATTCAAACAGATATCCAGGAGATTAAAAACTCTATTGAAAGTGTACGAAACAGAATAAAAGATTGCGAAGATAGAATTTCAGATATAGAAGATAGGATAGCAGTCAGTGACCGTGAAAAAAGAGGTCTATTAAAAACAGTAAGGGATCATGAGAAATCAATCCAACAACTCCTAGACGATACAAAGAAAAATAACATAAGACTGATAGGAATTCATGAAAAAACAGGAGAAAACACAAATGATATAAAAAAGCTCTTCACAGAATTAATGACAGAAAACTTCCCAAACAGAAGGGAAGAATTAGACATACAGATAAGTGAGGCATATAGAACCCCAACTAGCCACGATCAAAAAAAATCTACACCTAGACATATAATAATCAAGATTCCAGAAATCCAACAGAAAAACAAAATACTACAAGCAGTAAGAGAAAAGAAACAAATCACATGCAAAGGGAAGCCCATTAGAATCACAGCAGACTTTTCAACACAAACCCTTAGGTCAAGGAGAGCCTGGAGTGAGGTATTCCAAGTCCTAAAAGAAAAGAATCTCCAACCTAGACTTTTGTATCCTGCAAAACTCTCTTTCAAAATAGATGGGGAAATAAAATACTTCCACGACAAAGAGCACCTGAGAAATTTCATGAACACCAAACCAGCACTGCAAGGA